GTTGCGATTCGGCGCTTCTGCGCATGTGCCGAAACCCAGAAGTAACCCGTTCCAGTACTTCCGGGTTCGGTGTGGTGCGCAACCTGAAATTACGCAACCTGAAGCGTCTGTAACCCAAGGTATGGCTGTACTTCCAAAGCCATCTTTCTCTGACTCCTCTGGGAAGACAACATGCAAGGCACAATTGAAGGCATACTGCCTCTGATTTCTGGAGGATTTATCCTGTACTGTGTTTCTCATAACTGTAGTGGGACATTGAAATTCAGAAGCCAATTTAAGCACTTCTTTTCTCTCTTGTACTTAGAGGCACTCAGCCCAGTTGGCTCACAAATGAACGCCTAACAGTTTTTTGAGCAAACTCCTCCTTAGTCGAGGGAAAGATGAGCAACCCTTTTCACCCAGATACTTGCTTGCGGAAGAAATGAAAAATAACCGAGGTTTGCATCACATTCGGACGCAGACTTTGCTGACTTGGCAGGCAGGAGTGAAGCTGGCCAGAACCAGACGGAGGTTCTTTTCCTGCAGTTGTTTTTAAAGTTTTAAAGTTGTGAGCCAGCTGCCTCTAGGTAATTAAATCTCAGGATCAGTATTGACAGCTTATTGGTTGGCCTCGACTGGCACTGTGACAAAGAGGAAGAGAGGAGATGGATGTCGTCTTCCCTTTCTGTTATTAATTGGAACTGGAAATGCGAAGCGTGGAAACAGGAATCCCCCTGCGAGAATCCGTGTGCCTGTTTGTGTACAGTGGAAGATGCAGTGCTAGCATGAAACATAAGGCAGGGGGAAGTGGCTCGTTGTGAGTGGTAGATTGGGGGAGTTGCTATTAACAGGCTGGCTTGGGCACCTGTGGGGATAAGCAGGAAGGCCTATGGGGCCTGGCAGTGGCTTAGATTCAGGCCTATGCATTGGCCCACACCTGGATCCATGCTCCAGAGTCAAAACTTCCCTGGCCCTCTTGCAGCTAGGCATATCACATGCTCCAGCCAAGTGGCACTGATGCAGGAGCTGCCGAAATGTTTAGACCCGTGGGGCATATTTGGACTAATCAGGGGTCAGCAAACTTTTTCATCAGGGGGCCGGTCCACTGTCCCTCAGACCTTGTGGCGGGCCAGACTATATTTTGGAAAAAGAATGAACGAATTCCTATGCCCCACAAATAACCCAGAGATGCATTTTAAATAAAAGGACACATTCTGCTCATGTGAAAACACGCTGATTCCCGGACTGTCCATGGGCCAGATTGAGAAGGCGATTGGGCCGGATCTGGCCCCCAGGCCTTAGCTTGCCTACCCTGGGCTATGGGCACCACCTCCTGGGGTTTATTTTCTCTCCCTACCCCACCTACAGAGGCAGAAAGAGAAAGGGATCACCTAGGTAAATGTTAGATCCAGTAGAATTCATACGAGCCTTGAAAAGCACACAGAGATGAATGAGGAAGTGCATGAAACTGTCGCTTTTCCCGTCTTCCCCCTTCAGCTCCATGCAATGACCCCCTCCGGTGATCACATAGCCTTCAAGTGTCCCTATCTTCCAGGGACAGTCCCAGAATTATGAAAGCTATCCCAGCTTCTGATGTGATCTTGGAATGTCCCTATTTACCCCACCAGTGTCGCCAAGATCAGGGATAAGGAGGAGCTGGCACTTATCCTCAGCTGTGGTGGCAGTGGCAGCTACAAAGGAGCATTCTGTTGCCTCTCCATGGCCTCTCCATAGCTGTCACTGCCAGCCTCCTCCCTTGGGCAGCTTGCAGAGGCTGCTGGAGAGCAGGCAAGAAGGAGGAGAGGCTGTAGCTGCTTAGATCCAGCCCTGTGTGACATGCCATGCAGGCAGAGGGCAAGGCTGCCCTGGGCAGGAAGAAAGAGGGAGTGGATTGGAATGCAAGTCTTTGGAGGGTGTGTTTTTTGTATCCCTTTGGTGTAGTGCTGGTGAACTACTCTATTCCGCACTTAAAAATGGAAAGCATAATGCCATCTCCATCTCCTTGAAAGATTCCATCAACGGTGTCTCTGAAAAATTTACACATCACTTGGGAAGACAGGTGAACTAATGCCAGTGTACTGGAAGAAGCAAAGATCACCAGTGTCAAAGCAATGCTTCTTGAACATCAACTTGGTTGGACTGGTCATGTTGTGTGGATGCCTGATGATCGTCTTCCAAAGGAACTATTCTATTCTGCCTCATGAGACCAGGGCCCTGCAGGATCTGATTTCTTTCCGCAGGGCCTGTAAGACAGAGTTGTTCCGCCTGGCCTTTGGCTTGGAGCCAATTTGATTCCCTCCCTCTCTTTCTTTTTTCTTTTCCTTCTCCTCCTGTGAGGAGGCTACATTTTAATATTTTAATGTTTCAGTATTTTAATGTTGTATTTTAATTTTGTTTTTAAGTTGTAATCATTCAACTTGTTTTTATTATTGCTTGTAAGCCGCTCTGAGCCCGGCCTTGGCTGGGGAGGGTGGGGTATAAATAAAAATTATTATTATTATTATTATTGAACTTAAAAATGGAAAGAGTAATGCTGGTGGTCAACAAAAGAGGTTTAAAGACTGTCTCAAGGCAAATCTTTAAAAATGTAGTATAAACACCAACAATTGGGAAACACTGGCCTGCGAGCGCTCCAGTTGGAGAACAGCCTTTACCAAAGGTGTCATAGACTTTGAAGATACTTGAACTCAGGACTCAAGGGAGAAATGTGCTAGGAGGAAGGCACGCCTGGCAAATCCACACCATGGTCAACTCCCGCCCGGAAACCAATGTCCCCATTGTAGAAGGATGTGTGGATCCAGAATTGGCCTCCACAGTCACTTACGGACTCACTCTTAAAACTGTGTTTATGGAAGACAATCTTACTCGGCTACGAGTGATCGCCAAAGAGAGTGCTGGTGGCACTCGCCCTTCTGCTGATAGGAAATGTTTTGTGGTAGGAACCCCCCAAAATGTGGGGTCGAGGAGGGTCAGTTGGGAAGGAGGGAGAAATGTCCCTATTTTCATCTGAGGAATGTTGGAGGGTATGTGATCAAGAGGTGGTGGTGGGGGGTAGCTCAGAGGCTTCATGGGAACCAGGGAAAGACCTGAAGGGTGCCATTGTCCCCATGGGTACCACATTGCTGACGGAATCCACCCAAAGCTGGTGTTACAGGTTGATTAACTGCATGAGTTACAAGCCACTTATATCTCAACACCATTCCATCTGTCTTTCAAACATCTCTTCTTCTGCCTTTGTGGGGCACACAATTCTTTCTAAGGCTGTGGATACACTCTGGTTGACTCGGCATCAAAAGTGTTGGAAGAGGCATGCCTATGACATTAGCCACAATTTGTATCCTGTATCTATCCTGCAATTTCTTAGGACATGCTACAATTTGATGCATTTTTCCAAAACTGGCTTCAATCCAAACTGAGAAAAAGAACAACCTATCTTCATTTTAAGCAGGAAAGGGGGTAATTAAGAGAACCCAGAAAGCTCAACAGACTCAGGAACGTTGTGTATCTCCTCCAATGCCAAAAACACGTGTACTGTAGCTGCTTTCTTGCTGACAAAGGATGTGAAGGTGCTCTGGAAATGTGGGCGTTTTACCTGCCTCCCCAGCTTAGTCAAAAAGTCACCCCCACCTTGCTGAGTCTTCTGCTCACTCCCCACTGTGCCAGCGTTCAAGCCGTGAGTCTGCCCCATAGATCTCTGGTGGGCGGCGAATGGTTACAATGTGCCTTTACAAAAAAAGAGGGGAACAATGTGCAATTGTTACTCTCGAAGTAAACACAAGCATAGCAATGACTCAGCTGGTGTTTGTGTGTTCGCAAGCAGCCTTAAACTTGTCTTATTGGTTCTTCGCAGGAGATTGGGAGTCTGAATGGGATGCACCGAGGTAAATATGTGAGCTGGGCTACAGGGGCAAAAGTGAGAAATAATGAAGGCCAGCAAATTTTATATATATATATATATATATATATATATATATATATATATATGGAATTTCAACAAGACATTTTATCAAAAAACATATCATCCTTAATTCCCCCCTTTCCCCCTCCCCATAAAATAGCCCACCCTCCCCTCTCCCCCCTCCGACTTCCCTCAGCTCCTCTCTCTGGTTTATCAACAAATGCTATTCTCTGCATGTTACAAAATTGTATAGATCCTTAATTTATCTAACTAGCTATTGTCAATAAAAAGTTTGTGAGTGTTTATTCAAAACCTGCCAAGGAGTCCAGTTCATTTTGTTGCTTCTTTAGGTACTTTGTAAAGGGTTCCCATTCATCTTTAAAGTCACGGTTATCCTTGTCCCGTAGTTTGTGTGTCAGTTTTGCCAATTCTGCATAATCCATCAGTTTTTCTTGCCATAGTTCTTTAGTCGGGATTTCCTCGTTCTTCCATCCTTGTGCTATTAAGACTCTTGCTGCGGTTGTCGCATGCATAAAAATATTTTTCAATTTCCTTGGCAGGTTTTTCCCTAAAATCCCTAACAAAAATGCTTCAGGTTTTTCAACAAATGTTAGATGGAACATTTTCTTCAATTCATTGTATGTCATTTCCCAAAACTTTTTGATTTCAATACAATCCCACCACATATGGTAAAAGGTCCCTTCCTTTTCTTTACACTTCCAACACACGTTTGAATTGGTTTTGTACATTCTTCCTAGCTGCACTGGTGTTATATACCATCTATACATCATCTTCATATAATTTTCTTTCAACAATCTATAAATTTTAGGTCAATTTTCCATAACCTTTCCCAATCTTCTAGCATAATATTATGACCTCTATATTGTGCCCATTTGATCATAATGGAAGCCAGACAATTAAAGGGAGGTTTTGGCTGAGTATTGCCCAACCCGATGTACTCCAGATGTTCTGACTTCAACTCCCATCAGCCACAGCCAAAACAGCTGTGCTGACCGGGGTGGAACATGGCTGTCTTATATTGAGACAGACCATGGTCCCATCTACCTCAGCAGTGCTCGCACTGACTGGCAGCAGCTCTCCAAGAGCCTTTCCCAACTCTTCTTGGATGTCCCATGGATTGAACCCAAGACCTTCTGCATGCAAAGCAGATGTTCTGCCACTGAGCTCTGGTCCTTTCCGATAGGAGCTGTAGTTCTGAGCAGCTGGAGGGCAGCAGGTTGGGCAAGGAGCGCCAGCTGCTCAATTGCTCCATTTTAAAATGATTAGCAAAGCAATTGATTGATTTTATTAAAAGAAATTAAAGAACCAGAAGCAGAGGAACTCACCAGAGTGGAGGCAGCCAAATGACATGAGCTCTGCTCTTAATTAATTCAAGCTGTTTTTAATACCGGAATTATATTAAATGGATTGGTGGTGTTTCAGATCCTCTTACTGTCTTCAGTCAGGCATTTAGGGGTGAAGACCAGGGCTTTCCCCCTAGTGACTTCCTTACTTCCATATACAGTGGTACCTCGGGTTACAGATGCTTCAGGTTACAGACGCTTCAGGTTACAGACTCCAGTAACCCAGAAATAGTACCTCGGGTTAAGAACCTTGCTTCAGGATGAGAACAGAAATTGTGCTCTGGCGGCGCGGCAGCAGCAGGAGGCCCCATTAGCTAAAGTGGTATTTCAGGTTAAGAACAGTTTCAGGTTAAGAACGGACCTCCAGAACGAATTAAGTTCTTAACCCGAGGTACCACTGTACTTTGCCCATGGTTTGCTTCTTAGGGGCTGGAAAGTAATAACTGGGTCAATTACCTATTTAAACCTTTTCGTCTGCAGAGTGAGCAATATTTGGTTAGTTAGTCTTGGTTAGCGAGCAGGCTTTACCTGTTGCAATCACGGAAAGGGACAAATGTAGGTAAGAAAATAATGAAGCTGTTCATTGTAGGAAATACATAGGCTGAGCTGGAATGACAAAGGAGTACCATATTTGCAAGGAAAGCAGCTCACTGTGATTATCCGAAAGGAGCAGCTTTTCTCCAGAAATTGTTCTGCAATCCTTCCCAGCTGACTGCAAACTCTTCTGGTAACTTTCGCCCCCTGCGTGTACACACCCCATCCACAGACAGACGGGGCAAACCAGTTTCCCTACCTTTCTGCAGGTGAACAGAAGCTGACCATCCAAACGGATGAGATGATCTCCCTTGATTGCTTATTAATTCTCATTCATTCATGACTGAGCCACATCAAAGGGAGAGGAAGCTTTGAATCATAGGAAAGCATGACTTGTAATGCATGCTTTTCCTCCACCCCCAGAGCAGTGGGTGTTCAGGATAAACTTTGTAGGATGATTTTCCCATGGACAAAATGTTGGGGAGTGTCTCAGGGTCCCTAAATCACATTCCTTTTGCAGGAGACTTTGGATAGTCTATATAGTATAACCCAATATACGTGAAGGAGCGCCTCCACCCTCATCATTCAGCCCAGACACGGAGGTCCAGCTCCAAGGGCCTTCTGGCGGTTCCCTCACTGCAAGAAGTGAGGTTACAGGGAACCAGGCAGAGGGCCTTCTCGGTAGTGGCGCCTGCCCTGTGGAACGCCCTCCCATCAGATGTCAAGGAAGTAAACAACTATCCGACTTTTAGAAGACATCTACAGGGAAGTTTTTAATGTTTTATTTTTTTGTTGTGTTTTTACAATTCTGCTGGGAGCTGCCCAGAGTGGCTGGGGAAACCCAGCCAGATGGGCATGGTATAAATAAATAAGTTTCTGTGCGCTGCTCTGGTTCGCCAGAAGCGGCTTAGTCATGCTGGCCACATGAGTCCGGCTTCCAAGCTGGTCATGGGACCGAGACAGCTCTGGTCGCCCTAACAGATGATCTCTGCAGGCAGCTGGATCGAGGCGGGTCGGGGCTGCTGATTCTTCTAGACCTGTCAGCAGCCTTCGACATGGTCGATCACGAACTCCTGGACCACCGCCTTGCCGACGTGGGGATCCAGGGCACAGTCCTTCAATGGCTGCGCTCGTTTCTCTCTGGTCGGGGACAGAGGGTGGCGCTTGGGGGGGGGAATTGTCATTGCGCCACTCCTTGGTGTGTGGAGTGCCTCAGGGTGCGATTCTCTCCACGATGCTTTTTAACATCTTTATGCGCCCCCTTGCCCAGCTTGTCTGGAGTTTTGGGCTGGGTTGCCATCAGTATGCAGATGACACCCAACTCTATTTGTTGATGGATGGCCATCCTGACTCAGCCCCAGACACACTGACCAGATGTCTGGAAGCTGTGGCTGGATGGTTACGTGGGAGCCGGTTGAAGTTAAATCCTTCGAAAACAGAGGTCCTCTGGCTGGGACGGGGTGATATGGGATTGAGGGGGCAACTCCCATCTCTTGCGGGGGTGCAATTAGTGCCAGCATCGTCCGTTAAGAGTTTGGGTGTAATCTTCGATACCTCCCTCTCTATGGAGGCGCAGATTACAGCTATAACAAAGGCGGCATTTTTTCATCTCTGCCAAGCTAAGCAGTTGGCTCCTTATCTCTGTCGCCCTGACCTAGCCACTGTGATCCACGCGATGGTCACCTCCAGACTGGATTATTGTAACTCGCTCTACGTGGGGCTGCCCTTGAGACTGACCCAGAAACTCCAGCGGGTGCAGAATGCCGCGGCGAGACTCCTTATGGGGTCTTCGCTGCGAGATCATATTCATCCGGTACTATACCAGCTGCACTGGCTCCCGGTGGAGTACAGGATCAGGTTTAAGGTGCTGGTTTTAACCTTTAAAGCCCTATACGGCCTAGGACCCTCGTACCTACGGGACCGCCTCTCCTGGTATGTCCCACAGAGAAATTTATGGTCTGCAAATAAAAGCACCCTGAAGATCCCAGGCCACAGAGAGGTTAGGCTGGCCTCAACTAGAGCCAGGGCTTTCTCGGCCGCGGCTCCAATCTGGTGGAACGCTCTGTCACAAGAGACTAGGGCCCTGCGGGACCTGACATCTTTCCTCAGGGCTTGCAAGACAGAGCTGTTCCACCAGGCCTTTGGTCAGGGCGCAGCCTGACCTCCTCCTCTGGCAATCTGCACAGAATTTTGCTTAATGGTTGCCATCAATTTGATTTTAATTAATTTTATAATGAATGTTTTTAGAATGTTGGATTATTTTGATTGTTGTTAGCCGCCCTGAGCCCAGCTTCGGCTGGGGAGGGCGGGATATAAATAAAAATTTATTACAGTGGTACCTCGCAAGACGAATGCCTCGCAAGACGGAAAACTCGCAAGACGAAAGGGTTTTCCGTTTTTGAGTTGCTTCGCAAGACGATTTTCTCTATGGGCTTGCTTCGCAAGACGGAAACGTCTTGCAAGTTTGTTTCCTTTTTCTTAAAACTGTTAATACAGTTGCGACTTGACTTCGAGGAGCAACTCATAGCACGCAGTGTGCGTCTCCGTAGGGGCAAGAACGCGTGAAGGCGGGTTCTGAGGGAGAGGGAGCTTTGTTTCAGCGAAAAATAGCAAGGCGCGCACACTTCCCTCCCCACAACTCCCAGTTAGGGAGGCCAGGCTCCGGGGCTCTTCGGACGGGGCTCCTTCCTTCTCCCCCCCCCAGCGCCCCGGCGGTGACAAGAGCGCCTGCCCGGGCGCTTTCCAACCCCGCGACGTCTACGGCTGCGGCAAGTTTGCCTCTCAGTGTGTGTGCGCGCGAGTGTGTGTTCTCCTCGCCCCGCTCGAGTTAGTCCCGGCGCAGCGCAGGCAGCAGGTGAGTCGCCCTTTGGCAGCGTGGAAGGCGCCGGGCCAGGCAAGGTCAGCTCGGGAGCCACCGGGGACGCGCCCCGCGCTCCTCTCCAACGGGCTGGATGCACCCTCTCCGCTCGCGCGCTTCTGGCTGGCTGGCCGGCTGCAGCAGCAACAGGGGCAATAGGCATCCACTGTCGCCGACGCTCCCTCCCTCCCTCCTGCCCGCGGCGGGCGGCTGGCTGGCTGGCGCTCTCGCAAACTGTCGGGCTGCTGCTGCAGAAGGGATTTTGCACCAGACAACTTTTAGGCCAGTAGGAGTTTTGACTACCGCGGCGACAGCAGCAGCAGCAGCAAGACGGTGCCGACTGTAGTGCAAAGGGTCGGAGCAAGGCGAGCCGAACTGATCCCGGGGGCTCAGGCAGCAACCTCCGCCCTGCCTCCCCCCACGCCCGCCTCTCCCTCCCTCCCAAGCACCCCTCTTTTTTGAGGTTTTTGAAGACTTTTGAAGCTTTTCCAAAACTTTCCCGACACCGTGCTTCGCAAGACGAAAAAAATCGCAAGACGAAAAAACTCACGGAACGAATTAATTTCGTCTTGCGAGGCACCACTGTATTATTATGATGATGACCCAGAAGCTGTACGCCAGCTCCCTTGGCCAATAAAGCGAGATGAGCGCCGCAACCCCAGAGTCGGTCACGACTGGACCTAATGGTCAGGGGTCCTTTAACCTTTTATGTTGTGCATAGCATCCCTTGGTAAACTGTGTTTTACATGTATCAAGGTGGAAAGGAAAGTTTTCTTCTGATACAAAGAAAATGGACCTGATGCTCAAATTGGCAAGCTTGTAACAGCTGCCATATACAGCACTAGTAGCGCATAATTCGCATCCTACATGGTTGTTCAGTAGTCATTCCTTCTCTCCAGAGAACACAGGGAGCTGTTGTTTCATGATGGGGGCATGTGATCTCACCAAACTACAATTCCCAGAATTCTTTGGGAGGGTGTGGGAGGGGGAAGCTATGACAGCTAGACTGGAACAAATAGAAATATAAATTTGTGGCGTGGGAATACCCCAAGTAAAACCAGGATATATATGTAAATGATGCATTCAAAAGCATTCAGAGTTTTATTGAAACCAGCCCCCTTTAAATGTTGACTTGTTGCTTGTCTGTACAAACCACTTCTTGCTGAGAGCCAGGCTACATTGCTTTGACTTTTTCTTCTCCTTTTTTCTATTTATGCATTTGTTTTCATTTCATACTGCTGCTTCAAGAGGGATAAGATGCAGAGATGGAGGGATTGTAATTCCCCCACCACCACCCTGAAAAGGGTATGTGTGTGTGTGTTGTTTTTCGTATCAAGGGAGGTATAAACAAAGTAATGGTCCCTGAGGAAAGTGAGTGTGTGTGAGAAATAATAAAGCACAATTGGAGTTAATGGCTGACCCTCATGTGGAAC